AAATCCTCACAGGGAAAAAAAACCCATACCCAGAGATATCCCACCCCTAAAGTTCCTGCTGCTACACAGATTTTGGGAGAGGAGCCGCTGCAGGCTGGGATTTCTCTGACCACAAATCCCCAAAAGGATGCTCCTGCAATTCCAGATGCAAACATCCTCCTCTAATTGTCACTGGGATGTCACAGGCCCTTTTCTAACCCCCAAAAAAAAGCTGATCACAATGCATTGAATGCACAGAACCTGTTGCAAAACAGGGAGCTGGCTCCTAAACCTCCCACAGCTCCAGAAGAGCCAGAGGCTCCAAGAAGCCACAGCAGCAGCTGCTTCTTTGTGCTGCAGAGCCTGGGAGTGACACCCAGAGCAAACAAAAGCCTCATTAAAATGACACAAGAGCCCGTCAGGATCGGAGGTGGATCTCGGTGCTGCTGAAGGGGATGAAGTCATTTACTCGGCAGGGATTGGGATACACCAAGCTGTAAATCCTCCCTGTGCCTCTCATTCCTGCTTTTTTTATTAGTGGGATGTTGGGAAAGGAGAAGCCATTTGCCAAAGTAACAGGACTGGTTGTGGCAGAGGGAACTGGGAACCTCCAGGCTCCCAGTACAGCCTGGAGTGAAGAGGATGGACAACAGAAAGAGCTGGAGATTCATGGAATAGTTTGGGTTGGAAGGGACCCTAAAGCCCATCCAGTGCCACCCCTGCCATGGGCAGGGACACCTCCCACTATCCCAGGGTGCTCCAAGCCCCATCCAACCTGTCTTCGGGCACTGCCAGGGACCCAGGGGCAGCCACAGCTTCCCTGGGAAATCCATTCCTGGACTTTGGGGTAATTTCAGGTGAAAAAAGAGGGTTCAGAGATGAAGCAGAACCGCCTCAGCTCCTCAGCACCCCCGGCGTGGGCAGCAGGGGAGGGGGTTCTGCCCCTTTGCCCCGTCAGGTGAGACCCCACCGGTAGGGGTGGCACTGGATGGGCCTTGATGTCCCTTCCCATTCCAGGATTCCAGTGTTTGATGCCATCAGGGAGACGCTGCTGGGGCAGCTCCAGCACCCAGAGCTGGATCCGTGGCTGGAGCCACGACCACCCAACCCCTCTGCCCAGTGGCAGACCAGCAGCATCCCCGCAGGAATGGGGACTCACACCCACCTTTAGCCCTGTTTGGGGCTTTTTTGGCAATTCCTGACATTTCCTGGAAACTCGGTGAGCCAAAGCTCAGCTGAGTGGAAACAAAGGCTCCCGGGAGTGGAGCTGCCGTGGGCAGGTCCCGTCCGTCCCAGCCCCGCGGGACATTCCTGGGCTCTGACGCCTGCTCGGGGCCGAGTTTCACCCAGAAATCAGAAAGAGCCTTTGGCATTCCAGAAAGAAGCAGGGAAGAGATGTGGACGGCTCTAGGCGGGTGCAGAAAGCAAGGAAAAGAGGAGGTGGGAGAGGGAATGGGACACGATAAGGGAGGAGTGAGGGGGAGAAGGAATAAGTGAAGGTAAGAGAAGGAATACCGAAGTGAGAGCAGGAGCAGGGATGGAAAGGAGCTTGGGAAGGTGGCAGAGCTCCACCCAGCCACCCCCCAAACCAGGGTACACAAATACCCCCGCTCTGGCATCGAATTCTCTTGTTCCCAAGCCCCCACAGCCCAATCCCAGCATGGGGCAGGAGAGGAGGGGAGGAAGGGCTGCAGTGTCCCCTCTGTGCCCCCCTCCTGTCCCTGCAGCATCCCTGCAGTGTCCCCTACCCCTGTGGCTGCAGTGTTCCCCCTCTGTGCCCACCTGGGGCAGGGCACTGTCCTTCGAGGGCCATGGACCTCCTCCAGCCCCTCTGTCCCACCCTGACATGTCCCCAGCCTGGCCCCTTCCCTTCCCCAGAGGGACCTGCAGAGAGGGAACAGGGCAGAGCTGAAGGAAGGGGCTCTCAAAGCCCCCAACTCAAACTGAGCAGTGCCCAGTCCCAAACTGGAACCTCCAAGCCCAGCCCCCAGTGGAGCAGGAAACGCCTGCCCCACCCAGCCAAACTGAATAAAACAAACCAAACCACACATTTCATAAAATAAATCCTCTCCTCCTTCTGTTTCTTTAAACCTGAGCTGACCTTGGGGAGGCTCCAGCAGCAGAACCAAAAGCTGCTCTGCCCTGTCCCGTTGTGGCCACAGCAGTGGCCATTCCCTGTCCCATCCCTGGTCACAGCCCTGGCCATTCCCAGCCCTGCATGACCAGCCTGACACAGCTCCCATTCCAGGGACAATTCCCGTTCCAGGGACAATTCCCTTACCTGGCTCCTGCTCACCCCCTCTCATTCCCTCCAGAGCTCCGTCAGTCCTGCTCTACCTCCAACTCAGATCCCTTGGGGCTGATTCCCAGTTTATTCCTCATTAATAAACACCAATATTAATAAACACCTTGATAAAGAAATGGTTCCACTCTGCCTGAACATACTGAGCCAATAACCAGCCTGGAGTTCCAGGAAATAACCCCCAGTGCCCAGGGAAGGGTTACAGATTTCCCAGGATTGCCCAAGGGGGTTGAAGCATCTTCCAGGCTCCCTGTGAGGGTTTAAATCTCCCACCCTCAGCCCCCAAAGAAGCACACACGGTGACACACCCGGAATGGGAGATCCTGGATCACTCTGCATGCAACCCCAGCAGGATTCAACCCAGGCTGTGAGCACACAGGGAGCTGTGCACTCCCAACGGCACAGCTGGATGGGGCTGGACCCTTCATCCCTTTCTCCACCTTATCCCCACCTTCCTTTGTCCCTGTCCCTTTCCAGCAGGATTTCTGTCAGCCAGGAAGGCTGAAAAGCCCTGTTTTGGGGACCAGCCCATCCCAGGCTGAACCAAATACCTGCCCAAGGAGGAGCACTGAGAACATCAGGAAGAGCAGGACCTGCCTGAGTCAGCTCAGCCTCTCCCGGGGCTGGGAGGCAGCAGGGGCAGCAATGAGGGGCAGCAACGAGGGGCAGCAACGAGGGGCAGCAACGAGGGGCAGCAACGAGGGGCAGCAACGAGGGGGGCAGATGCTAAGCTAGGGACAGGTCCTCCCTTCTCCAGGAGGGAGAAGCCAAAGGATCCTTCCCTACAAACACCAAAAAAGCCCAGGAGCAGCACCACAGGCACTGAAACCAGGGTCCCCCAGAGTTCCTCCCCTCCACAGAACTCCCCTGGGCCCTCTGCTCACCAGGTGGGCCAACAGGAGCTTCAGCCCTGAAAGGAGAAGCTGAATCCTCTTCCAACACATCCCGTGTGTCCTGCAAGTCAAACCCATCCTGCTGGAAGGACACAGCACTTGGAAAACCCTCATCCATCTCAAAGCAGAGTGGCTGCAGTGGCCCAGTGAAAAATAGGGTTCCACACTGCTTGTCCCAAGAATTAAAGGCAGTTTTCACCCTGAACCATCATCCTTCTGCACCTTTCTGAGGCAGAGGGATTTTTGGGCCCAACTCCAGCATCTAATCATGGAATTATGGAATGGTTAGGGTAGGAAGGGACCTCAAAACTCATCCCATTCCACTAGTTTGTGTTGCTCCAAGCCCTATCATTGGACACTTCCAGGGATGGGGAAGATGTGGGACACAAGACACAATGCTGTGCAGGAACTGGGAATCAAAAGGCTTCGAGATCCATTTGGATCCCATCACCTGGAGAGGCTTCCTGGCCCACTGTGCACTGGGAGATGCTCTTTAAGCCAAACTCGTTGTTCACATGGGCTAGACCTAGGTTTGGAAACTTCATTTCATGGAAGAAAAAGGATGAGGGAAAGAAGAAAGGAGCAGGGATTGATGCTCAGACAGGTGGGATGACCTGGGATCATGGAAGATCCCACCAGGATCAGAGCAGACACTGCTCCCAGCCCCTATTGCACCAAAGTGCCCTCATTCCACCTGCACCTGCTTCCCTCAGAGGGACTGAGCTTCCCCAGGGCTGTCCCAGTGCCCTCAGCCCCACCAGCAGCCCCAGGGCCAAGGGTGACCCCTGACCTGGTGCCTGTTGGGATCCTGTCCCTGCCTGCAGAGCCATCAGAAAAGCCCACCAGGAAAGGAAAATGTCACCCACAGAGCAGGAGCCACGAGCTATGGCTGCTCCCAGACAGTAATTTGGGTGTAATCATTAAAATAAACCATCGGGATTGCCGTGAGAAGTCCTGCCAAGGACCCACTGAGTGAGTGAGCGGGTGTTCAAATGCATTTTTCCTGGAAAGGATGTTTTGGGAAGGTGGACAGGGGGAAAACCCCCATTTCTGGCAATATATTTCTGGCAATATGTTGCAATTCCACCTGAAAGAAAGGTCAAACCTACTGGAAAAGGTCCCCTTCCCTGGGAAGTCCTTCCCAAACCGCAGCTGCTCCTCAGCAGACATTTCTTGTCAGAGCACAGATCCAGCCTCACCTTCCCTCACCTCCCTTGGAAGGGAAGCTCCAGTGTGGAGCAGAACCAGAGCAGCAAAGCAGCAGCTTTCCCACAAAATGGAAATTGGGATGGCCAGAGAAGACCATCCCCCTTCCCAAGGATGCCACAAATCAAGGCACAGTCGGGAGTTCTTCTTTCCCAAGCTTCGCAGGAGAAACGGAGGCAAAGCAGAAACCACGTCCAGGGTGAGTTTGTACCAAACAGGGATTTAAGGGTGGGACACCAGAATTTGTTGAAATTCAGAGGGGTTTTGTATCTCCAGCTTTCATAGGGCTTTTGGGGAATGGGAATGGGGCTGTCAAAGGTGGATTTGGGCACCTGAGATCCACCTCGGGTGCAGAGGTTTTGAGGGTCTCTGGTGCTGCCAGAGCAGATGAATTAATAACCTCAGCACTCTTGGACCCCACTCCCAGGGGTGTCAAAACCAGGCTTATGTTCCCTAAACCAGATCTATCTTCCCGAAAGCCAGACCTAGCATTTCTAAAAACAGATTTATCCTCCCTGAACCCAGACCCATTATCCATAAACTAGACCTAACATTGCTAAACCCAGACCTATCCTCTCTAAAGCACCCGAGCACCAGTCCCATCCATGCTGTGCCCATGTGGTGACACAGTAGGAGCAGCTCCAGCCATACCAAGCTTTGGATGCATTTCCCAACTCCTTCTTTAGTCAATTCAGACTCTTTATGGTTTTAGACCCTCCTGTATTTAAAAAAAAAAAAAAAAAAAATTGGGCTGGAAAGCAGCCAGGGGCTGATGCTGGCTCCGTGTGCCAAGTCCTCATGCAGAGCTGTGCCTGGAGCAGTCCTTCCCAAGCCTAGCACCTCCAATTCCTTTCCTCACCTTTTAAGGATGAATGAGGCGGCTGCTGGCAGCCGGAATTACCTGGGAGGGTTTGTTTTTGCTGCAAGGGCCTGAGTCCTCCTCACACAAACAAGCTCCTGAAGAAAGGAGGGAACAGACAGAGGAGGGAATAAGAAGGAAAAAAAAAAAAAAAAAAACCATAGGGAAAAAAAAAAGCGCCAACAGGTTGATCTGGATTTCCATCAAGGGTTCCACCCTCCTCCGTTTAATGAACATCGCAGAACAGGTGCTTGGAATTCATTACCAGCCCACAAGACCAGGAGACGGAATCGCCCCGGCCCGGCTGCGCTGCTGCTCCTCTCTCGGAGGCAGCAGAGCCACAAACCTTCACCCTTCTCTCCCTCCTGGGCGCCTCTCCCTCCCCCGGAGCCCAGCCCGGGCATGACCAACCCCAGCTCTGCCTTCTCCAGCGGCTCCCTGAGCTCCGGGGAGGCGGCGGCGAGGATGAGCCCCGACGGCGGGGCCAGCGATGGGCACGGCTCGGTGGGCAGCGATGGGCACGGCTCGGTGGGCAGCGATGGGCACGGCTCGGTGGGCAGCGATGGGCACGGTTCCCCGGGCAGCCATGGGCACGGTTCCCCGGGCAGCCACGGGCACGGTTCCCCGGGCAGCCACGGGCACGGTTCCCCGGGCAGCCACGGGCACGGTTCCCCGGGCAGCCACGGGCACGGTTCCCCGGGCAGCCACGGGCACGGTTCCCCGGGCATCCTGCAGAGTTCCCCGGGCAGCGATGGGCACGGTTCCCCGGGCAGCCACGGGCACGGTTCCCCGGGCATCCTGCGTGGTTCCCCGGGCATCCTGCGGGGCTCGCCCCGCTCGCCGCTCCCCGGGCAGGGCAAGCTGCCGCCCGCCGTGCGCCTGGACATCGACACCGAGTTCCAGGCAGTGCGGCAGCAGGAGAAGGAGGACATCAAAGTGCTCAACAACCAGTTCGTGACCCTGATCGAGAAGGTAGGGACAGCACCTGGCTGGGGTGGGGAGGGGCTCTAGGGGACCGCCGGGTCTGCTGGCACATCCGGTTAATTAGTTGGTTACCCAATTAGTTATTCCCTCTGAGCTCCCTGTCTGAGGAGGGTTAGGTAGCATCCCTGGGGGCTGTGCCTGTCACCCTAGGCAGCTCCTGGGGGACCCCCAGAGCAGCCTCGGCAGAGTTGTGGAGGCACCATGGACCCCGGAGTGGCCGAACAGCCAGGGGCAGTGACGCCAGTTTTGGCAGCAGCTCCGATTCCGACTGCTAAAGAGAGCTGGAAACTCATCCCTAGAAACCCATCCCCACCTCCACCTGGGCAGCATGGGGGGCCAGGGGGACCCCCCAGCCACTGCCTCCAAGCTTCTGAGGAGAGGGGCCAAGAAAGCGTTGCTTTCATCTCTGCGGAGCCAGGAGAAGCAGAAGTTTCTCCAAGGAAAACAACTCCCAGAGCAGGCAGGTTCCTGCAGAGCCCTGCTCCGTAAACAGATGTAATCTCCGGGATTGCTTCATGCAGCTCTCCCTGCCAGCCTCCAGCAGCCCGGGATTGATTCATTTCAACTCTCCAAGGACCAGGATTCACACTGGGAAGGAGAAGGCCGTGGGAACATCTCCAGTGGATCTCTCCAAGGGGAACGGTTGTGACCAGTCACACCTGGCAGCGCCAACAGGGCCCAGACTTGGCTCTCGTGGATGGGCACAGCCTCCTCCTGTGAGCCTTTCCAAGATTGTGGCATGGGGAATTTAGAGAACACTTGGTGTGGGAAACACCCACACAGCAGAGGCTGGAATTTGGACTGTCTAGGCAGAGAGGTTGGGGTTTGCTGGGCCCTCGGAGCAGGGATGGGAGTAGGGGAAAGGGACAAAACCCCATGTGCCAGAGCCAGGCCTGTTCCCTGACACCGTGGAGGGAAGAACTGAGAGTTCCAGGTTTCCCAGCAACCTCCTGATCCATGTGGATCCTGGGCCAGGGGTTCAGGGGCACAAACACCCCCTGGCCAAGGTCTCTGACTGAAGCTCCTGAGCTCCTTTGAAGGCTTCAAGAGCTGCATCAAGTGGCAACTTCAGGCACCTGCCCCAGGCCCTCATTCCAGAGGAAGGGAATGAGACTTCCTTGTCAGAGAGAACCTGGCTTTATAATCAGGGATTCAGATGTTCTCAATCCCCAGCAGGTGATTCCAGGGATAATTGACCACACAGCTGCAGGAGTTCGGTGCTCGTGGTTTTCCGGCTGTTACAGATCTGCTGGTTTTTATTTTCCAGACAGATATAAACGAAGACAGGGAAAAGCCAAGCCCTGGAGACCCTGTTTGAAGCCCTGCCATCATCCCAAGCAGCCCAGACGGGAGGGTCTGGGGTCTGCAAAGACCAAACTTTGGCCACTTGTGTGTTCAGGCATGAAACTCCCGGGAATGAGGCCAAATGTGGGTGATCCCTCTGCAAAGCTCCCGCTGAAAGGCTCTGCAAGGGGGATTTCCACTGAGGGGGACATTGCAGGAGTCACAGAATCATGGAATGGTTTGGGTCAGGAGGGACCTTTAAGATCATCCAGTCCCAAACAGAAGTTGGAAGCCAAGATGGAACCGGCTGAGTCTGTGGATGGTTTGCGAGCAGGAATTGAGGGATAAAAGGAGCAGCTGAGGATTAGGAAGAGGAAGGAGGTTAGGAATTAATTAAAGATTGACATGGAACAACAGCCAGCACAATCCATTCTCATCCCAGGAGGGAAGGATGAGGTCTCTTAAGAGTGAGATCTGGAACATCCCAACACTCCCATCCCTTCTGCTGGGAACTCCCAGGCACTGGAATGGTTCTTCTTTGCTTGGCTGCTCTTTCTGTCCTGAAAAGAAGGATTTGGAGAAAGATGGTGCCACATCTGGGTCAGCAGCTGGAATTCTGCCTCTTCTTTGGACCCCAGGCCCAGCCTGGAGGCCTGATGGCTCCTGCCCCCAGTGCTCCGGGCATGGCATCGGCCCTGAGTCATCCCAGAACGCAACACGGGAAACTTGGAGGCAACTCTGGCATCTCCAGCCAAAACGTGACTGGGGTTGCTCCCAGAGGTAGCAATTAGCCAATTAATTGGAGTTGGCCAAGAGCTTTGAAGATAAGAACTGTTAAACTTGGAGTGTTACTGGTGAGATTGGGAATATTGGGAAAGAGGAGCAGGTTCCTCAAAGGCAGGTGATGGAAGGGCAGCGTTGTCCTCTCAGTGCCAGCACAGGGAGCTCACCTGGAGTCTGTAATTACCTGGGGTGTTCTCCAGAGCTTTGTCTGAGCTGCTCTGCAAAAAGCCTGATTCATTCCCTGAACCTCTCCATGCTGTCATTCCTCGCAGCCCAGCAGGTTCCCTCTCTTTGTGCTCTCTGGGGTAGGATATCTGCCCTTCCCTGACCCTGGACATCCCTGTGTGACCTGGGGTGGATCTGCAGCCTTGGCTTTATCGTGTTGGCCTCAACACCTGGATCTGGTGATGCTGGAGGTGTTTCCAGTAGGGCACACACAGAAGGGACAGAACTGACCATTCCTGTTGTCAGTGACTCCTCTATCCCAGTGTTGCTGTGTTTAGCCCAGTGTGAACATGGTTATTTTGATATCACTGGTTATTTTGATGTCATATGTTTATTCCAATGTCACTGTGTCTGTTTTGATGTCACCATGTTCTATTGAGGAATTAATTGGTGGGTAATGTATAAAACCCCTAAAAGTCCCCTAAAAGAGGGAGGTGTCCCTGCCTATGCCAGGGGATGGAGCTGGGTGATCTTTAAGGTCCCTTCCAACCCAAACCATTCATGATTCCATAACCCTCCATCCTCAGGCCTAATTTTGACAGGATTCCTCATTCTTCCCTGGAAATCTGCTGATTCTGGCAGGTCCTCTGAAGGTCTCCAAAACCTCCAGCCCTGCCACGCTTCGATTGTGGCCCTCAGTGCCACTGACCCCTCTGAAACCTCTCCCATAGGTCCAGAGCTTGGAGCAGCAGAACAAGATCCTGACAACCAGGTGGAACTTCCTGAAGGACCAGGACAATTCCCACTCTGATTCGGACATCAAGGCCATCTATGAGCAGTATGTGAGCAAAATGAACCAGGAGATGAAGGCGCTCAACTACGAGCAGGAAAACCTGGAGTCGGAGCTGACGAAGGTGCTGAGCACCATGGACACCTTCCGGAGCAAGTAGGTGCCCATGTCCATGTCTATCCACATCAGCTGGGGCACAGGGAACAGTGTGACATTGATTTAGCTCAGCTAGCCTGAGATGCCCAGGAAAATATTCCTAGTTTGGTGTAGGAAGTAGGGAATTTAGGATCACAACGTCTTGCTGGTTAATGAGAGGTGAAAGGAAAGGTGGAATAATGCAATTCCAAGGAGAGCAGGGTCTGAGAGGAGCCTCTGCCAGGGAACAACTCAGGGAATGGCATTGTTGGAGTGACAGCCATGAAAACAGGGAATGTTTATTCTCCACAAAATTAGCACAAGCCGGAACTTTGTCCCCAAAGTGATTTCTGGACTAGGCTGCTCAGTACAAAAAACAACGCTCCTGGCTACATGGGCAGGGCCAGGAGTTGGATTTGATGATCCCTGTGGGTGTCTTCCAGCTCAGGATATTCATCATCACACAATGGGTTAGGAGTGACCTTTAGAATCATCCAGTGCCACCCTTGCCATGGGCAGAGACACCTTCCACTCAAAGCCCTTCCAACCTTGGACACTTCCAGGGATCCAGGGAAATCCATTCCAGGCCCTCCCCACCCTCACAGGGAGGAATTCCTTCATAAAGAAGGAATATTCTATTCCATGACTGTGGGATCTCTTCCTTTCCCCCTTCACCCGAAGCGTTTCTGCCAAACTCTGCTTTGACCAATTGTGTCCCAAATGGTCCTGACCAAGAACAGGGAGGCAGCCAAAGGTCGGGGGAGGTGCAGCTGCCTCTTATCTCTGGGGAGCTCCTCTTATCTCTGGAGATGTGCAGATAAGGGAGAGCAGCTGGGTCACAGGGGAGCAGACAATGCCTCCCTCATTATGGTGCTCATTTGCATCCCACAGGAGAATCCCAAATGAGCTCCTTTCTCTCCCACTGATCTCAGCACCTTCCTGAGCTCTGCAGGCTCCCCTGGGGATTTGGGCTGTGCAGAGACTGTCCAACCCAAAGTGGTGCCAAGGGACTCAGGAGGAGCAAAAATCCCTGCTGGGATCCAAACCCACTCCTGAGGTGAGGCACAAACCATCCGTGCCCCCTCCAGGGAGTTCTGTCCAAGGATTCTCCAGCTCCTTAAGCCCTGCTCGAGGTGGCTGCAAATTAGGGAAGGGCTGACAGCTCCTTCTAACCGAGACCCAGCAGTGAAATGCGCTAATCAGCACACAGCAGGTTGGAATCATGGAATTAATTCAGCTTGGAAAAGCCCCTGGAGATCATCAGATCCATCCATCAACCCCCTACCACTGTGGTCACTGCTGACCCCAAGTCCCCAGGTGCCACATCCACACAGTTTTGGACACTTCCAGGGGTGGGGAGTCCCTGGGCAGCCTGTGCCAGGGCTGGACATCTGTTTCCATGGAAATTTTTCCAAATATCCAACATAAACCTCCTCTGATAGAACTTGAGGCTTTTTTTCCCTTGTCCCCTGAGAGTGGATACTGAATCCCACCTGGCTGTCCCCTCCTGTTGGGAGTTGTGCAGAGCCACAAGGTCCCCCTGAGCCTCCTCTTCTCCAGACTGAGCCCTCCAGGTCCCTCAGGAGTTCTCCAGACCCTCCCCTGGTGCTCCAGCCCTTCCCCAGCTCTATTCCCACCTCAGGGTCTTGTGGACAAGGAATGTTGTGAGGAATTTGACAGGAATAAGAACCAGGAGTTTGATTCTTCACCTTACACTGAAATCATCTTCCTGGGAGTCCTTCAAATGACACCCAGGTGCCCAAAAAGTCCTGAATTCCTCACGGGAGGTGCCTGCCTGCTGTTTATTTGGATAATGCAAAGGTTAGGCCCTGCCATCCCTCTCTGGAGCACCTGGCCCTCCCTGCACTGCCCCGAGGAACAGAATCCCAGACTGGTTTGGGTGGGAGAGGACCCTGCCATGGGAAGGGACACCTTCCACCCTCCCAGGGTGTCCCCAGCCCTTGGACACTTCCAGAGGTGGGGCAGGAATTGCCAGCTCTGACACTCCAGGGTTTTCCAGCTGACCTTAGGGGCGAAGGTGCTGCCCAAGGGTTCTCCCCACTGGATTTCTTGTGATTTTCCAGTGACTTGGACAAGGGGATAGGACACAATTGGGATGCTTCATCCCTCAAAACTGATTCACAGGGAGAGAATTCCCAGGCCCCATCCAGCCCTGGCCCAGCCCAGGGACATTTCTGGAGTAAATCTCTGTACAAACCAGGCAAGTCCAGGAGGTTTCTTTTCCCCAGGGAATTCTGGGGGAGGGAAAACGAAGAACCAGTTGGATTTCCCACTGGAGTGGTGCCCTCAGCCAGGCTGTGGCATTCTGGATGGGAACCCCCATGGGCATGGGAACACCCCAAGTCCTCCAGGATGGGGAGTGTGCCTGGGGGAGTCAGGGACTGCTTCCCAAACCCACCGGGACGGGACTCACTGGGACACTCAGATGATTCTGCCATGGAGCAGCAATTCCAAAGGGACGATGGAGAGGGACAGGCACCTCCAGGAGGGAGCACAGCCTCCCTCAGACCTGGTTCCCTGCATGTTGCTCCATGGAAGGAGCCCGGGGCGAGCAGACGCTGTCTCAGGTGTGCTGAGTGCAGGAAGGGCTGGATGGGCCCTCCCGCAGTGCCCCGGGATTATCTCCCGGGAGATAAACGCTGGGATGTGCCTCTGGAATGCTCCAGCTCCAGCCCGGGCTGAGTCACAGCCTGGGAGCGGGGCAGGAGCGCGTTGGGCCAGCTGGGCCAGCTCTGGAACTCTGCTGGGAGCTCTGGAGATCTGCCCTGCCAGCGCCCAGGGCAGGGGGAGACTGGGGCAGACTGGGATGGACTGGGGCAGACGACTGGAGCAGACTGGGATAGACTGGGATAGACTGGGGACAGACTGGGGGCAGACTGGGGGCAGACTGGGGGCAGACTGGGGCAGACTGGGATAGACTGGGGCAGACTGGGATAGACTGGGGCAGACTGGGATAGACTGGGACAGACTGGGATAGACTGGGGCACACTGGGGCAGACTGGGATAGACTGGGGACAGACTGGGATGGACTGGGGCAGATTGGGATAGACTGGGATGGACTGGGATAGACTGGGATGGACTGGGGCAGACTGGGGCAGGCAGACTGGGATAGACTGGGGTCACACTGGGGCAGACTGGGATGGACTGGGGCACACTGGGGACAGACTGGGACAGACTGGGGTCACACTGAGGCAGACTGGGGCAGACTGGGGCAGACTGGGGACAGACTGGGATGGACTGGGGCACACTGGGATAGACTGGAATAGACTGGGATAGACTGGGGTCACACTGAGGCACACTGGGGTCACACTGGGGCACACTGGGACAGACTAGGGTACACTGGGACACACTGGGGTCATACTGAGACAGACTGGGGCAGACTGGGATAGACTGGAGCAGACTGGGGCACACTGGGACAGACTGGGATAGACTGGGGTCACACTGGGGCAGACTGGGATAGACTGGGCACACTGGGGCAGACTGGGACAGACTGGGGCACACTGGGGTCACACTGAGGCAGACTGGGGCAGACTGGGTGCACTGGGGCAGACTGGGGCAGACTGGGGACACTGGGCACACTGGGACAGACTGGGACAGACTGGGGTCACACTGGGACAGACTGGGATAGACTGGGACAGACTGGGGACAGACTGGGACAGACTGGGGACAGACTGGGATAGACTGGGGACAGACTGGGGACACACTGGGACAGACTGGGGCAGACTGGGACACACTGGGGTCACACTGGGGCAGACTGGGGCAGACTGGGGCACACTGGGACAGACTGGGGATAGACTGGGATAGACTGGGGTCACACTGGGGCAGACTGGGGACACTGGGCACACTGGGGCAGACTGGGATAGACTGGGACACACTGGGGTCACACTGAGGCAGACTGGGGCACACTGGGACACACTGGGCCTGAGCTGAGTGTGAGGAGGAGGAGGAAGGGGGGCCACAGACAGGCACTGAGCGTGGTCCCTCCCGGTGCAGCAGGGCTGACAGCAGCAGGGCTGACAGCATTGCAGCAGGGCTGACAGCAGCAGGGTGACAGCAGCAGGGTGACAGCAGCAGGGCTGACAGCAGCAGGGCTGACAGCATTGCAGCAGGGCTGACAGCAGCAGGGTGACAGCAGCAGGGTGACAGCAGCAGGGCTGAGAGCAGCAGGGCTGAGAGCAGCAGGGTGACAGCAGCAGGGCTGACAGCAGCAGGGCTGACAGCATTGCAGCTGGGCTGACATTCCAGGTGAGCAGTGCAGACCACACAGGTAAATCCCATCAGCCGCTGCTGTGGAAAAGCAGGGAAGGAGAGGGCGAGTTCAGCACTGAGGGGGACTCAGGAGGAACCCCAGGAGTGTCCAAAGCTGTGACTGTCACACACCCCCTCGGGGAGGGAGCTGCAGCTCCAGGGAGCTGCTTTGGATATTTCCAAGTCAGCTCCTGAGCACGGCTTCCCTCATTTCCCAACATCTGCTCCCCTTCACCAGGCACAGCCCCCCATTTCCACACTTTGTACTCCCCAAAACCTTCTGGGCTCCCGAGAACCTTGTGACTGGATGCACCGGGCCCCACCAGCAGCACACGGCCGCAGTCCTGATGTTCCTGTCCTCAGTCTGTTGGGAGATCCCATTTCACCTCGTTCCCAAAGGTCTCAGCTTCCCTTAGGTCCCTTTGGAGCTCCCAAGGAGCACTGAAAGCCCGAGTTCAGTCTGGAAATGGGGTCACTTTGGGGCCCCTTCCACCAGGAAAGACCCTGAGGGGCTGGAGAGTGACCAGGGATGGGAATGGAGGTGGGGAAAGGCTGGAGCACCAGGGGAAGGTCTGGAGAACTCCTGAGGGAGCTGGGAAGGGGCTCAGCCTGGAGAAAAGAGGCTCAGGGAGGACCTTGTGGCTCTGCACAACTCCTGACAGGAGGGGACAGCCGGGGGGTGTTGGGCTGTACTCCAGGGAACAACAGGACAATGTGGAAATGGCCTCAGACTGTGCCAGGGGAGGTTTAGTTGGATTTTGGGGGAAATTTCCTCAATGGAAGGGGTTTTCCACAGCAGGGGACAGCCAGGGGGTGTTGGGCTCTACTCCAGGGAACAACAGGAATGAGCTCAAGGTCTGCCAGGGGAGGTTTAGCTGAATATTGGGGAAAATTCCTCACTGGAATTGTGTCCAGGCACTGGCACAGATGCTCAGGGCAGGGGTGGAGCCACCAAAGCCTGGGGACATGGTCAGGGGTGGCCCTGGCAGTGCTGGGGAATGGTTGGGCTCGATGCTCTCCAAGGGTTTTCCAACCTTCATGATTCCCTGATTCTATGGAATGTCATGTGCCCCTTAGGCTAAGAGGAGCCTGAGGTTTCAGGGAAGAGCAGGGGAGCCAGGACCTCCCCGAGAGCTCAGCCTGCTCTGATCCATCACTCCCATCACTCCCACCGTGTCCAGCTGCTGCGGGAGGTTTCCCATGGGAAAGGAGGAGGTTTCCCATGGGAAAGGAGCCCTTTCCATCCCATCATTCTGCTCTGACCAAGCACTGCCAGGCCCAAAAGGGACCCTGTGGCTTTTGGGATCCCAAATCCCTGGGATTTGGGATCACCACATCGCTGTCCCAGGAGCCAACAAGGCTTGGAGTATTCCCCAATTCCTGCTCATATCCATTTGCCCCTGGACTGAGGCTTTGCTCCCCGGCCCTGCCCTATCCCACCGGGATTTAAACACCTGCAGGGCTCGTTCTTCACAGGGACACTCAGGACTCCACCCCGTCCTGCTTTGGTTTCCCTCCACTCCATGGGCAGTTTTCCATGAATTCCTTTGCCTGTGTGCCTTCACAAATCACCTGGGCTGAGTTATGACACCAGTCCAGAATTCTCAGAATTTTCACAAGCCCAAGTTTCCTCCCTTGGGAAGACTCCAACCCTGGAAGTGAAACTTGGAGGAAATGTGAGCAGAATGGAAAAGGTTTGGGGTGAAATTGAGGAGTTTGAGCAGAGCCTGATGCCCTCCCCCATCCCCTGTCTCTTTGTGAAGAACCTGAGGCTCCCCAGCCCCCAAATGAAATCCCAGTTAAAGCTCCCTTCTCTCTGCTCTGGGATTCTGCATCCCAAAAGTGCTCCTGGTGTTCCAGGGCAGCTGGAATGTGGCAGCTTCTTCTCACTCCTGCCCATGATGCCTCAAGGAGGGGGGACAAGCAGGAAAAGCAGAAAGTTTGGATACTTTGGGGGTCTCAAGACAACTCTGAGTGTCCCTGAGTTGCCCTGGGACATGAGTTGCTTTGGGCTCTGCAGGTACGAGGATGAGATTCGCCTCTGCAGCGGGATGGAATTCACCTTCATGGAGCTCAAAAAGGTCAGCGGGAAGGGAAGGGGAAGTTTCCCACTGGATGGGCTCTACCCAGCCCTGCACAGTCAGGGAAGGGCCTGGAGGTGATCCAGGCTCAGCTGGTTTGGGATAACAAGGTCTGGAGGAGGACAGGGAGGGGATGAGTCCCAGTTCCACAGGAGGGCGAGTCTGGAGTGGCTCCTGAAAATCCCCCGGCAGCACCTGGGGATCAGAGCATCCCCAACCCTGTACCTTGGGAATTCCTGGTCAGACTGTCCCCATCCCTGCACCCTGGGAATTATTTCCTGGTCAGACTGTCCCCATCCCTGCACCTTGGGAATTCCTGGTCAGACTGTCCCCATCCCTGCACCCTGGGAATTCCTGCTCAGACTGTCCCCATTTCTGCACCCTGTGATTCCCTGGTCAGACTGTCCCCATCCCTGCACCCTGGGAATTATTTCCTGCTCAGACTGTCCCCATCCCTGCACCTTGGGAATTCCTGGTCAGACTGTCCCCATCCCTGCACCCTGGGAATTATTTCCTGGTCAGACTGTCCCCATCCCTGCACCCTGGGAATTATTTCCTGGTCAGACTGTCCCCATCCCTGCACCTTGGGAATTCCTGGTCAGACTGTCCCCATCCCTGCACCCTGGGATTTCCTGGTCAGACTGTCCCCATCCCTGCACCCTGGGAATTCCTGGTCAGACTGTCCCCATCCCTGCACCCTGGGAATTATTTCCTGGTCAGACTGTCCCCATCCCTGCACCCTGGGATTTCCCTGGCCTGAGGGTTCCAAACCCTTCCCCAGCTGCCTCCTCCTCCCTGTGTTCCCTGGGATGCCATTAGGGTTGGGAAAGGCTGGAACTGATAAAGGATTTGCTTTGTTCCCTGCAGAGGGGCCACGCCCTTGGCAAACCCCAGGTAGAGCTCCCACTCCGGCAGGAGCCAGTGGGAATCAGCTGGAATTGGGATTTTATATCAAAACCCCCAATCTGGGAGTAGGATAAGGGTGTTGGAGAGAGGGAATGTTCCCCACAAGTACCCATCCTGGCTAATTCCATGTTTTCCCTGGCACACTCCCCAGGAAAGGCATTCCTGGACATTTCCATGGATGGCTCCCAAGTTTTCAATAAATGGGAAACAAAAGCTGGGAGGGGAATGGCCCAGCCCTGCCTGGCCCAACAGATCCTTCCACCAACAAGTCCCACAAAACAAAGGGAAAAGGTTCTCAAAGGAGCCTCCCCAGCTGCAGAGCAGTTCCAAACATCCCTGTTAATAAATCCCAGAATGGGTTGGGTGGGAAGGAGCTCATCCCATTCCAGCCCTCCATGGGCAGACACCTTCCCTGTCCAGGGTGCTCCAAGCCCTGTCCAACGTGTCCTGCCAGGGATGGACACTCCCTGGGGATGGGGAGCAGTGGGAATGATGAATCCTGGACTGATGAATCCCTTTCCATCCCTGCAGGATCTGGATGTGAGCACCTTGCACCGCACGGAGCTGGAGGTGAAGCTCAAAGGGCTCCAGGAGCTGCTGGAGCTGAAGAAAACCATCTACGAGCAGGTGGGAACGCAGCTGGAGAGGGCTGGGATGCATTTTGGGGACAGATCCTGGATTTCCACCCGCCTGGGAGCTTGGCCAGGGTGTCACAGCCATTCCATTGCTCAGGACCTGAGATGCTGATCCCAAAGAGCAGTTTGGGATGGGGCCCAGAACAGCTGAGAATTCCAACCTCATCCCAAACTGGCTCTTGGGTCCTGCCCTCAGGGATGGGGTTTGCCCCAGACCTTGGCCCAAGTGAGCCAAGTGTTCAGAATCCAGGAAGAACCCAAAAACCAGGACAGCTGGAGAACCTGGATGCTCTGAAACCCAGTCCAGCCTCCTCCTTCCCCAGGAAAACGAGGGGTCCCCAGTCAGGAAGGATTGCAGCCAGGGGGGAAGGGCCTCCAGCAGAACACTGATTCAGGCCTGGAAAATGTCACCCAGCAGGATCAGCATTGCGGGAACACTCAGGATTTATCTAAACTCCAGCAATCCAAACAATTACTATGCCTGAGGGAGGAATATGAACATTCTGTGTGGGAAACTGAGGCATGGAGAGGCTGGAGCTGCCTCCCAGCACAACTGCCCAGGGAGCCTGATCTGCTCTAAAATGAGATTATTCCTCATGCAAGGCAATTTGAGCCCAGTTTTTATGGAAATCAGGCCCTGCTCCAGGATCTCCACCTGATTTCTCATGGGTTCCACAAAAAGCTGTGGTTTTTAACCCCCAATTAATACAAAAATCTCATCCCCAGCCTCTCCTGTCTCACCTTCTCTGTGGATTTGATGGCATCAGGTACAGACACTTTCCCAGGGGGAGGGAAAACGAGGTAAAATTTGCTTGTTGAGATGGATCAGGAGAAAATGATTTATTAATTCTCATTAATAAATAAGTAGTTTGAGGGTTTCATTCACTAAATGATCTGATATTCCAAATAAACACAAATTTTCTTACCTGCTCCAAATTTAACAAAGAAATGGATTAAACAGCAGTGGGATAAAAGCTCCTGGTTCCCTGCGGAGCCCTAAATCAGGCTCTGGTATCACAAAGAGCAGCCCCAGCCTCGCTGGATCGCACAGCAGAGCTTGGAAAGGGCATTTTCCATCCCCCGAGGGTGTGGAGTGATCCACACAGCCTTTGTTTTCCCAAAACTCTCACATTCAGCATGGATACCAATGGATATTGGTCCATGATCATTAGTTCCAGCTCTGCTCCTGGGGAGTGACCGACTGGACAAGAGGAAATGCCAGGGAAGGTTTATGTTGGATATTAGGGACAATTCCTTCCTGGAAAGGGTTGTCCAGCCCTGGCACAGCTGCCCAGGGCAGGGATGAAGTCCACGTTCCTGGAAGTGCCCAAGGAATGTGTGGATGTGGCACTTGGGGACACAGTCAGGGGTGGCCTTGGCACTGCTGAGGAACAGTTGGGATCTGGTGATCCTACAGGTCTTTTCCAGCCTTAAGGATCCCAGGATTCTCCCTGATCCTGGACTAGTCCAAAGGCACGGTTTCATCAGAATTTTACCAGGTTCTATCCAAAGATCCCAAACCCCAACTTAACCTGAGTCTGGATTTTATGGAGCAAATAATACCAGATCACCAACTCCAGAGAGTGAAAACTTGGGAATTGTCCCTCTCTCCACATGGAAGCTGCTCTGCCAAGCACAGCCCACCTGGAGCTCTCTCTGACTACTGGGAATCTGGGATACAACCAGATCCTGGGAAGAAGTTCTTCGCTGTGAGGGTGGGGAGGCCCTGGAATAGATTTCCCGGAGCAGCTGTGGCTGCTCCATCCCTGGCAGTGCCCAAGGCCGGGCTGGACAGGGTTGGAGCAGCCTGGGACAGTGGGAGGTGTCCCTGCCATGGCAGGGGTGGGATGGGATGGGCTTTGAGGCTCTTTCCCAGCCCAGTCATGCCATGAATATCCAGCTCTGTGTTCTCTTTCCTGCTGTCCCATGGCTCTGCAGGAACTGGAGGAGCTGCTGACGGAAATCAAGGACATTTCCGTGGTGCTGGGAATCGACAGCTGCTCCCGGCCGGACCTGGGCAGGATCGTGGAGGACGTCAGGGCCCAGTATGAGGCTCTGGCCCTGCGGAGCTGGGAAGAGGCCGAGGCCCTCACCCGGAGGAAGGTACCAGGTCCCTGCTCTGTGCTGGGAGAGGCAGGAAAGGACAGGAGGGATTGGCCTGGAAACAGCTGGATCAGCGAGGATGGGAGGGATGGGCTGGCCCTGGGAATGGAGGAGGGACAAGGCACCATCCGTGATCAGCTCTGGATGGTAAATCCAGGGTTTTGTTACTCTGGGCTTTCCACACTGGAGGAACCCAGTGGAGATGGAAAATGTCCTTCCAGCTCTTCAAAGAGCAGGAATGTGACTGGTCCCAGGAGCCACAGCCAGAGAGGATGGGAACGAGCCCCAGATCTTTCCCCAGGTAATCCAGGTGATGCCAGGGCACTCCTGTCCCTCTCTCCACAGCTCACCGACAGCAGCTCCCAGTCCGGCTCCTTCGGGGGGCACCTCCTCGACAGCCGGCGGGAAATCGCGGATCTGAACATCCGCATCCAGAAACTCCGCTCCTGCATCGTGTCCCAGAAGAGCCAGGTGTGTTCTGGGTGTTCTGGGTGGGATAACAGGACAGGTGTGTGCTGGGTGGGATATGGGACAGGTGTGTGCTGGGAGGGATATGGGACAGGTGTGTGCTGGGTGGGATATGGGACAGGTGTGTTCTGGGTGGGATAACAGGACAGGTGTGTGCTGGGTGGGATATGGGACAGGTGTGTGCAGGGAGGGATATGGGACAGGTGTGTGATGGGTAGGATATGGGACAGGTGTGTGCTGGGTGGGATATGGGACAGGTGTGTGCAGGGTGGGATATCTGTGCTGGGAGGGATAACAGGACAGGTGTGTGCAGGGTGGGATATTGGGACAGGTGTGTGCTGGGTGGAATATCTGTGCTGGGAGGGATAACAGGACAGGTGTGTGCTGGGTGGGATATGGGACAGGTGTGTGCTGGGAGGGATAACGGGACAGGTGTGTGCTGGGTGGGATATAGGACAGGTGTGTGCTGGGTGGGATAACAGGGCAGATGTGGAATTCCCTCTCCCAAGCCCCCTCAGCTCCCTTTCCACACTCCAGTGCCTGTACCTGGAGGAGCACATCCGCGAGGCTGGCGAGCAGGGCGAGGGGACCCTCAGGGACGCCAAGGCCAAGGTGGCTGGGCTGGAGGAGGCCCTGCAGCGCAGCCGGGAGCACATGGCTCAGCTGGTCCGGGAGTACCAGGAGCTCATGAACATCAAACTGGCCCTGGACGTGGAGATCCTCACCTACAGGAAGCTCGTGGAAGGGGAGGAGAACAGGTGGGCCAGGATTCCTCCACCTCAGGTGGGGAAGAGATGCACCAGCACACCTGGGGGGACAGAATCATGGAATGCTTTGGAACCCAGTCCCACCTCCTGCCTTGGGCAAGGACACCTCCCAAAGCCCAGCCTGCCCAAATCCCAAATTCTGAGTTGGGTGCTGAAGGTTTGGTCAAAGAAGGAGCAAACCCTGGTGATTCCCAGCAATTCAATCCTGTTTCTTGCTCCCAAATCTTCCTCAGACTCCCCAGGCTGAGGTTCCAGACCTTCCCCAGGTGCTGTTGAAGCCCATCCTGGTCCTACCACTATTCCAACTCCCCCAGGCCAAATTCCAGCCCTTTCCACCCCTCTGGGAGAGCTTCAGCCACGTCCTCACGCTGTGTCCTTCCCTTCCCAGCATGGAGCAGCCCATTCCCACCGTCATCAGCGCTGTCCACTCCCGGCCAAAGCCTCGTAAGTGCTGTGATCCCTCCGATCCAGGAAATGGGGAAGGATGGAAGGGTTTTAACCTTTCCCCTTCTCCCAGTTTCTGCCAGCACCCTGCGGAACTCACGGCTGTTTGCCCAGGGCTCAGGGCACGTGGAGCCAAGCCGAGGTGGCCCTGGGAGAGCCCAGGACGTGCCGGGGACTGCAGCCACCAGGACCCAGCCCAAGTTCAGCTCCGGGGCCGCCGGGGAATGTTCCTAGGAGAACGGGATGAACACGGACCGAAAACACCTGGGAAGCTCTTCCTCCTGAACTCCAGCCCACATCCAAGGGATGAAGGATGAGGGTCCTGTCCAGGCTGTCCCTTGTCTTTCCACCATCCCAGTTCACAGCTCCATTCCCAGTTACAGCTGGAACCACCCCAGGAATTTAGGGACTCTTCCATTCCCTGCACCTTCCTCTCTATGGCTCCCTTCCCAGGGGATTTGCAGTCACCCCCTGGAATGTGCCAAGCACGAGGGAAGTATCCCTACCCATTTTAGCAG